TTAAGGTTTTATCTTTTCAATTTGTATTTTTAATTCACTGTCCGGTACGACGACATCTTTGCACCTATCCGGTGGCATTCCCCCCCCCCCCCCTCCCCCGCGCCCCCTGCCCCGAGATCTGCTCCTTGCTCCCCTCTCCCCTCTCTTCCGCGGCGTGCGACGCCCGAGGGGAGGCGGGGTGACCGTCGCGGAGAGCGGACGCCCACATCGGCTGAGCCTTACGGGCAATTAGTACCGAAGATGTCGTTCCAGAGCCTGTGCCGTCTGTTTATGACCTATTGTACCCACCGCAGTGTCGGAGATCTCATATACGCCTCTTTAGCTTTGAAGCCCGCCGCCCTACCGTGGAAACGCGCTCAAGTCAAGCTCCTTTTTTTATTTCTTTATTTTTTTTTTTTGGTGGGGGGGGGGGGGGGGGGCGTTAGATTTCGTTTTACTGTTTGCTTTTTTCACATATCTTTTTACGTTTATTTTTCCTGACCTCACGTCCTTCTTGCCCCATTGGCCGCTTACTGCTTTGCGCAGTCTGAAGCCCTCACATGTATGCCATCTCCTGACGAAGCCGAGCCTCTCGGCGAAACTCTCGTAATACATACAATAAACTCCTAGCATAGCAACTCGGACAGTACGGATTTCTGACTTTTTACATTTTCCCGGTTCATTGTTCTCAAACTACTCTGCCTCACCTATATATATATATATATATATATATATTAACGACACATTTGTTTAGAGTTTGCAATGTTTTTCAAATAAATTTGAGATTCACTGCGACAAACAAAACGCCATAAAAATAATTAGGTTCTTAATATACTTTTTGGGATTAATTACAGAAGAAACAAAAGAAGGGAATTTTAAGCGACGAGGGAAAGAATATGAATTAAATGATATCCAATAAAAACGTTCGATTTAAATTTCGATTCGATGATGCCTATATCAGCGCTAAGCCATCCTCATGCAATAGACCTATTGCTATATTACCCAAGCATTAAGAAAAAAAATTGGGTTCTGTGTGTGTTTATACAGCCTAGAACTTGGTCTGCCTCACAGGGGCGACGAGTCTTCCAGCTGTAGATGAGAAATTTAGCCAGTGCGGTACAGCCGCTAGCCTGGGGTCTTTAACGTGCATCACGCAGTAGTGATACACGACCGCACGCCGGTACGATGCTCATCCAGATCGAAACGGGCAGGGGTGGGGCTCGAACCCAGGATCCCTGGGTTCTGAGAATGCAGAGATTGGTGTTCCACGCGCCGCACGTGCTGGCCTCAGCAGTACTCTTCTAAAGGCAAAACCCTCAAACAAATGGCAGCTTGCACGCGCGTTCGTCAACGTTTTATTTTGGTTATTTACTTCGAATCTTTTATACGAGGAAGGCGTGCGCGTGTGGCGCGTGGAGCACCAATCCCTGGATTCTCCTTAATGCTTGGGTAATATAGCAATAGGTCTATTGCGTAAGTATACTTTAGGTGAGATTTCTACTCGTCAGCAGAAAGATTTCCGCCTATCGCGACAGTTTGTTATGAAGGTAAACAAAGCAACCGAAACAAGACCCCCCCCCACCCCCCCCCCCCCCCCAAATTCAGTATTCATGCAGCCCCCCCCCCCCCCCCCCCAGAAAAAAAAATTCTGGCGCCGCCCCTGCACTAAGCAATGCAAAACTTTGCAATTGCTTAGTGTTAAGCAATGCAATTTTTTAAGATCTTTCGACGTGCAACTGAAAGGTCAGATTGACCTCCGTCAGATTTGGGCACTTCGGTCGGTATTCAAACCCGACAAATCAGGATTCATAAGCCAGCGCGTTGGCTCAAAACCGCTGAGACGTTTTAATGTTTTGTGTTTTGTTTTAATATCATCGCCATATAAAAGTCACAAAAGTGGTTGTGAAACAAAATATAGTCGAACCATTCCGACAAGCACACTTTGATCGCAAAATTGATTTCAGAAAGTGATAAAAAAAAAACAAAAACATTAGACTGTTTTTGCATGCGTGGCGGAATCCCAACTGGCGGAATCGCTTCCATGGCCCCCACTTCATTTGGATCGCGTTAGTGTACGAACGCACAATAGAACGCGCGCAAAAGCAGCTGTAGTGCACCCGCAGCCTCTGCTTGTTGTTCTGACATCTTTGCCTCGCTCAGTGCGGGCATCCAGGCATAGGGTGCCTAGATGTCTGTCTGTCTCAGGGTGAAGACATTCATTGTTGCCTGAATATGCCAGCGCGTGACGCTCTCGCGCACTCGGTGCGTGAATCGGGCGGTAAAATGGCGTCTATGCATTAGCCAAAGCTACGCGCTCGAGCTGAGTGACACCGGATTGCGCGCACTTCAAAATGCATAAGAAAACGATTGGGCGGAAAAATGGCGGAGTTGGCACCACTCAAGCAAAAGCGCGCGTGTGTATGAAGGCACTCTATCCAGGCATCTGACACCCTGACATCTGGCGTTTTTTCTGTCTTCCACGGGGCGTTCCTAGCGGCACAAGACGGCAAATGCACATCAAGCTATTCTTGAACAAAAGTCGCCATCTGTATTTTATATTAAGAAATTGAAACTTGCCGTAACTTAATGGGGAAAGTTTGAGGTCTAATAACATTGTTCACGTGTAATATACTGATTTGGAATCTATGGAAAATTCAATATCGAAGGATGCTTCGTAATTTAATGTCTCGTAACATTGATTAGTTGACGTGATTTTATTTTTATAACATGTTAAAGTAATACCATTTTAAACTGTATTTTTTATTTTAAAATATGCACTATCTGTACAGTTAGTTGATTAGTTTTTGATTTTATTACATCAAACAGATCGTTTACGCAAGTTATAGTGGACGATGGAACGTTAAAATGTGCAGAACGTAAGGGCGCAAATGAACTGGTGTATATCAAACATTTTAGTGCAAAACCCGAGACTGAGGTATTGACAGACGACGGCAAAGGAAGAGAAGGAGGACGTCTGTAGCTGTGTGTGAGACCAACGTTGTTTGAGACATTCTCCTTCTCTTCCTTGTCGTCGTCTGTCAATACCTCAGTCTCGGGTTTTTCATTAAAATGTTTGAGGAAGGTTATGACTAAAGAAATATTTTTTTTTCAATTGTAGAGAATGTTGTCTATTAGAAGCGAAATATTAAACTAAAAACTCAAAATATTGTAATATTGAGACATTAAAATATATTTGAAAAAGTCCTTAATTTTACATTAACTTTATGAATGTAGGGTGCATACAAAATATTATAAACCGTCAAAAATGGACCAAAACGTCATGAACGGTGAGGTTGCGCCTTAAAGGGGCCCTGCAATTACTTTTTGACTGGTTTTTAATTTGGACCCAACCTGAGCACACTGAACGTAGTAACTTAATAAAATATTTCCTTTCTCGAATTTCGCTTTATTTTAAGAATTATAGGCAAACTAAAATTACAAAAAAAAATAACCTCCTTCATGACGTCCTTAGTCGTGGATTGAGTAAACGTGAACTAGAGGACGAGAAGTGAGCTCAGCTAGCACTCACGGCTGCCGCTCTCCGTGTCGACGGCTCGAGAGGGCGCCACTAAAGCATGTGCTGGATAGGCTGTAGGAAGCGAACGGCCAGGGCGGCTCGCATTTTCTTTACTGCGCAATTAAACACTAATTCCGTATCACATTTCGTTGGCCACATACGACAGCAAACACGGGGTAAAGATAGGTTTAGAACAGCAGCCACTTCGCGCTACCATACCGCCAAGCGGCCAAACCGCAAGCCAAAACTGCTCGCCGAAAGCCTTCGGAACGATCGCAACCGGTCGGATCCCAGAGCCTATATACGACCGCAGCGTCGCCGCGTACATCCGGGACCTCTCTACGCTCGCCGCTCGTCGGTGTCTGATCCCACTACCCCTTTCTAGTATGCGCCGCCTTTCCTACCGCTTGGTGGCGGGTATGTCGATGGGTCACTTCTTGTTTCAGTACTTTATAAACTGCATTTGTTTCTTTTTTGATCTAAATACTGAATAAAAACTGCTTTCACAACTAATTGAAACAGTTCGCGCCACTTATATTTTGTATTTCGACTAAAAAAAAGCTTTTAGCGGCTCTGACCAGTAGTAAGGCAAGGACTTCACATATCGCGCGCTTTCGGCACCGCGGGTCGCTCCCGTAGGTGAAGGAGGTTTCCGCATCGTCCGGTTAATATATGACGCACTGATATTTAGTTACTCTTTCCGTGCCCACTGGCTTGCCCGAACACCAAGAAGCGTGGAAACCGCAAAATAAGTTAGACGCTTAAATCTGATCGCAGGGCAATTACGGGAAGACCCCAAGAAGGAGAAGATTTGCATAAGAAATTGACTTTCACTTGCAATGGAGTGCAACTCGCGCCCTCTAGGTGACAGGTGGTTGCTGAAAAAAAATGAAAGACGTTCATACAGCTCCCTGCAATGCCGAATTAGAGCGCAGCTCTTGAAGAGGAGGAGGGGAGGGTACGGAGGGGAGAGTTTTCCCCTCTTCTTCCTCCTCCCCTTCCCCTCCTCATCTCTTACTCCCCTACCATTTAGCGGAGAATTTTCGCTACATTTCCAGTTAAATTCAGCGGAACAAATTATTTATTTATTTATTCAGATACCTACAACGCCATGGGGCATTGAAGTAGGAGGGGAAGTTGGGAATGAAAAACAGAAATAGCTATACAAAGGTTCAAAGAACAATATACACAAGCCATAATTATTTTAGCATCATGACAAAGTGCAGGCTACATATAAATGCGGTGTTTAAAAAAAATGAACTAAACACTAGGAGGTTAGTGTTGAATACAACGTATAGTTAGGAACAATATTGACTACCGAGGTAAGTAAACCGTTTCGATTCCGTATTGTTTTAGCTAAAAATTAGTTGATAAAGACGTCAGTTCTACAACCTTATAAACATGATCCTTTCGTTGCGATATGTAATCTGGCAGAAATCAGCTGATGAAACACAGCGTTAAAAAAGCTCAACCGAGACCCGGTTTGCGCTGCTGGCCTGCGCAGGAATCCACCATGGTGGAATCGGCGCACGCGGTTGGAGCGGACGCTGTGCTGCATCACGACGGTGTCCATGCTCATGCTCCTGGCCATGGCGGTGGCCCTGGCCGTCCTCGGATACCACAACTCCCTGCAGAGCCTCGGTGAGCGCGCGTGACGCAGTTGACATGACCCCGCGATTGAGTGTCGTACAATGAGACTAGAACCACACATTAAGCTACGCTTAGAACATCGGTTCCTCCTCCTTCGATTTTTCGTGGGCGCCGCCTTTTTGTCGCTTAGTGCAGAGTAGTGTCACTAAATGAGCTGCGCTTAGAGTATGGGCACTCTGTTCCCCGACATTGTTGTGGGCGCAGTCATTTTGGTACTTGTGCAGAGCAGACGCAACTGCCGATCGTCATGATTCAAAAGTGTGACTTCCTCAACACTAGATTCGGGGTTAAGGAGCTCATGTAATATTGCTTTGCTCTGTCACGAACTGTTTAAACATCCGTGAAGGACGGAGAAGCGTTTTCTTTGATTTCAGAAAAAGCTTCAGAGAACTGGCAATCATGATTTTAAACCACAATATGAGCAAGTGCCGTTACTCTGAAGCGTAGCTTATTTAGTGGCACTAGTGGAGAGCGAACACAGCTACGATAAAAAAAAATGCGACTCATTAACCTCTACGATTAAAAATCCGACTCATCAAGCCCTACGATAAAAAATGCGACTCATTAACCTCTGATATGGTGCCAGAAAGCTCAGCCGATAAAATGCTTCTCTGTCTCGGACTATTTGAACATTCGTGGAGGACAGAAAAGTGTTTCTTGTGATTTCAGATACAACTTCAGATAACTGCGCAACCGTGATTCTAGGTATCTAGAAGGCTAAAGTACCGCTGCTTTTAGGCGTTTCGTTTAGTGGTTACAGGTGAGACGATGCAGACCCCAATCGCAAAAGTTACGCTAGGTGACGAACTTTCATCTTGCGTCCCGGAGAACCTTAGAACAAATGAAAGGACAAACTGGAAAAACAACTCCTATCATTACGCTGCTTTTTGTAGCGTGAGCTACACTGGCCGAAGTTGAGCAATTTCGCGTGGCTCGCATAATGAACCGTGCTCCGTGCTGCGCTGGCGCAAGGAGCAGCAACGTCACACGGCACACAGCTGGCGGGGCGGAGCCGCCGTCGCCGCCACCGCGCTCGTGTCGCCGGTCTGCGCAAGCGCGAGGAGCAGCGACGTCACACGGCGCACAGCACGTGCCGGAGCCGCCGCCGCCGCGGGCTCCGCCGCCACCGCGCGCGCCTCGCCGGTCTTCGCATTCCAGAGGAGTGGCGTCATAGCCGCGGCAGACGCACTGGCGCCGTCGCGTGCCCAGCTGTGTGCCCCCGTTGCGCAGGAGCCAAGTCTGACCCTGCACCGGAGCTGCTTGATAGCGCCTCTGATTTTGTGCGCATAAGCTCACGCTACGTATATGCTGGCATAGCCGAGCTAAGCCACCGCAATTTTTGTAACCTGCACGAAATATTTCGTCACCCATTTTCCAGGCACTTGTGTGAAACACCGCTTAGTGAGAGATTTGTTTTTAAATATTTAATACTTTCGCAAAACGACCGATCAACTCGTGTATCTTGAATATTGACCCCTGCAAAATTACTCCCTCTTACGGTCGATCTGAAAATAAATGCAAAAATAGTTCAAAAGCCGGGAGATATCATGATTAAAATAAGAACACCGACTTCACATAAGAAGAAAAACAACTTCATTAAACGTTTCGCCTCCCATGCGGGAGGCATCATGATGATGATGCCTCCCGGGTGGGAGGCGAAACGTTTATTGAAGCTGTTTTTCTTGTTATGTGAAGTAGGTGTTCTTATTTTAATCACGATCTGAAAATACTTTGAAGCTTCGTGCGCAAAAGACACCATAAGAATGGAAAGTCTATCAGTTGTCATCAGTCTCTTTGAAGTGACTATTATATTTGTTATACACTTGCCAGTTTGTTGGTGTTTTTTTTTTTTTTGCGCACGCCACTTTGCAGTATTTTCGGGTAGACCGTAAGAGGGCGTAATTTTTGAAGGTGTCTATACATCTATGCAGATGGGACCCCGGCTTAACCTCGAACCGCGCGTCCAGGTGAAGCGAACCTACTGTCCAGCCAGGACGTTCGCTGCTTGTCGTACAATGTTGCGAACTGTCCCTTGCAAAAGAGAATTATATATTTTAAGGAACACAAGAGGAAACACACAACGAATCTTTATTGTCTACGGAAACGGTTTTAGGACGCGCTGACCGTGGCCATTTTCATCTTAGTTAAAGCCAAAAGGAAAATATAAACGCTTCCAAATAATGCAAACGGGAGGGACGTCAGGAGCCGCAAGGCAATTGCATCAACGATGGCTGCGCTCAAGGAAGCATTGGCTTCCACGACGTGCTGGAATAGAGGCTGCGATCGTTATAAAGTCAGCTCCAACCCTAAGACATGTCCCATCTTACAATATTTGATGCCACGATTGTGTCTCGATAGCTCCCCCCTGCACTTCAGAACTGTTAATATAGGGTGTCACAAAAAAAAAAAAAAAAAAAATGCAAGATTTTTTTTTTAGCGCAAAAATAAACTAGGCATTGCAGAACGCTCCTTTTCCGCCCGAAGATAGCGCTACAGGTCACAACCAGATGCCAAAGTTTCAGCACGATCCAATACCTTATTCAAAAGTTAGAAGTCACTTTTTGAAAATTTCAATGGGAAAATTGAGCCCATTTTTGACCGTTTTTCGTTTCTGCTCCCGTATAGCCCCACGTACTCGAAAACTCCGTCGGCCGCCATTTTCCTATTGAAATTTTCAGAAAATCACTTATAACTTTTGAATAAGGTATTAGATCGGGCTGAAACTTTGGCATCTGGTTGTGACCTCTAGCGCTACCTTTGGGCGGAGAATGAGCGTTCGGCGATGCCTAGTTTATTTTTGCAATAATAAAAACCGTGTAAATGTCTTTGTGACACCCTGCACGTCGCTAACGTGCGCTAACGGCGGATATCGGCGATGCAGCAGATGCCGCCATCTTGTCCTTGCCTGCCTTAATGATGGGATGAGTCCACCTCAACATGGCGGAAACTTTACGCGGCGCCAGCATCGTTCACAATGGCAGCGCAGAGGAGTGTTTTTTGCAAAGTGTAGAGTAGATCAGGAGTTCGCTAAATCTCTATCTTCGTAGCATTCACGCGTTCAAGCAATTGTGCCATAATCAAGCTTGAAAGACCTGCCGAAACCAAGTGACTTGAAGTCGTTTGGGAGGCAAGAGACGGTTTGTGTTCTGTTAGCACTAAAATAGTTTCTAAGCCGCAGAACCCAAAGAAGGTAGAAATTAAACCGTGCCCCTATACTTCGTTTCAGCTTCGGTCCAGACGCAGCCGATGCTACAAGCGCGAGCATGTGGCCCAGAACAGTGCTTGCACTGCACGAGCGCGCGTGTTTGGCAGGGATGATGAAAGCCCGGAGCTCGCGCTTGTAGCTTTGGCTGCGTCTGGACCGAAGCTGAAACAAAGTATAGGAAAGCTCCTTAATGTCCGGTGTCGCTCTGCATCCTTTGTACTTGTACGGGCAGCCCACGTGCTGATTTCGATGTAGATAGGGTGCGGAAAGCCGACCGCTGAGATCTGCGGAAGCACTTGGTGGATGACAAGGCCCAGACCGTACTTCATAATAATACGTTCCGTAGTGGGATATTAACCACCCCAGTGTCCAATTGCTGATCGCTACTTTGTATCATAATGTATTTCGTCATTCGGTTTCTTTCATCGATTGCGGTTTTCATTTTCATGTAAGAATGTTATCTGCGCACGGACGAGAATGACATTTTGCTCTCTGATTGTCCATATCACGGTTTAGCATGTACAGTCTGCCCACTGTAGAATAAACCTGTGGTAAATGCAAGCCACGTGATCGTGGACCTTGTGTCAATAAATATACATTCTAGAGCTGAATCATAGCATATTACTCACACAATTTAAATTATATTGACAACTAAACAATTTAAAAAGAGCAAAAGTTCTAAAATAATTATTTAAGCGCGTAAACGTGCCCTTTGACCACGTATGGCGTAACTAACCACATTTTATGTTTCGGTTTTGTTATTTGGCTTTTAAACATGGCGGCCCCGTGGCATTTTATTTATTGGCTTGTCACGTCCGCTTGGATTTCGCCTTCGCTTTATTGTGAAGTGCGCACTGCTGGACGACAATCACAGCATATGCAATGAGGCGGTTGTTGACGGGTATCCGCGGTCAGAGACGGTAGCACAAACAGTATAGATGTTAGCCTTCAAGCTGTGTGCATGAAAAAATGATAAGCCGACGATCAATCAGCATAGTCTAAACAGGTAGAAGTAAAGTCGCGGTAAAGACATTTCAAGACAGCTATTTGTACAACCATTTCTTTTTTTTACAATACTTCACATAACTACAAATTGGTAACAGCACGTAAAACATACACAGACGCAGCAATGCTTCACATAACGGGGATGATTACAGACAAGCTGCTTTAATAGTAACCTTAGGCTAATATGGTTAATAAAGCTGTGCTTGGAGGGGCATTAGACCTACCCGTTCTTTTCCCCTAAATTGACGTTCGACGTACCTTGTCAATTTTCTAGGAGGTATGTTTTATCTATCCAGTAGATTTCCTTAGCGCGATGTTTAGAGGTTAGCTGGGTATGTGTAATCACTTATCCTAGAGAAAGCCTCTTCCGTCCACAATACAAACTGTAACACATGACCTTCCACTGCTTCTGCAGTCCCCGAAGCTCAATTCTGTCGAGATATTTATCAGAGTGCTCCAGCCCTGTTCTTACCCAGTGTTTCTGCGAAAGCCTGCGGTATGTAAAAGAATGTTGCGAACTTTCTATAGGATGTCGAAAGAACAGCGTGTGGAAATACGAAGAGACCCTGCAGTGCTGAGGCCAAGCTGTCACAAAAGCTGCACGGTCCTTATCGTTCGTAAAGCTATATATTCAAAGAAAGGTTGGAAAAGACTGCCACATTTTCTATTGTTGCAGTGTGGCACTCGGTTTTATTGCTTAGCATGCCGGAGGGTACCTCATGCTGCATTTTATCCCCTTTGGATAGAAAAAAACTGGTCAAGCTCACATTGCCGCTGATTG